CAAAACCTGAATGACAAACCAACGACTTCAAAAATTCCAAGTTCTACTATACAATATAACTTTAGACTTTGAGAAAAGCACTTACATTAAGTCCTAAGTCCCAGAGACTTACACAATTTTCTATCCAAAAATATGTAAATGTAATATATACACATATTAATACAAAAACAAAACAAAAGGAAAAATGAGGCTACAATAAGTTGAAAGAGTTTCAGATGTTTAAGTCCGATCAAAATATTATATTACTGGCAACGTTTATCAAAGTATCATTGGAAAAAGCAGTGCTGACATTTTCTGTTCTTTCTCTCCCTACTTTTTTTCTCAAATTAAAAAACTCACAGGAAAACAGAGCCACTGGATGGACTGTGAGGAACACTATTCATTTCTCCCCATGACCTGATTAGTCAGAACATCTTTCCAACGATTAGTTTTCAATTTGCGCCATTGCCAGAGAGAAAGGCCCCCAAATCCAAATTAATGGCTGCATAGATTGTTTATGCCTCCAAGAGGCACATTAAAATATTTCAGCAACGCTGATTTTCTGCAAGGATTTTATTTAATGGATTTAAAAAAAAATAAGGATTTTGGAAACTTGCCAAAAGTGTGTTTAAAATTCCACTTACAAGTTTGGCTGCCTAAAGAGTCTGGGTAGTGAGGGCTTTGTCATTTCTTAGTGTAAAAAGCTTCAACCTTGGATTCTGGGATCCTCGGACCCAGCAGTGGGGATCTGGATGGAACTGCAATTCTGGCTCAAATGGAGGGCCCATTTGCCACCTTGGCTTCCCCTTAATAACAGTGCTGTCCCTCATCATTCCCCCAAGTTCCCTTCCTGGGTGGTTTCTCCTCTCTGCCTCTACTTTTGGAAACTACACTAAAAAAATCAAGAGAAAAGGTTTCCACAAACATTGGACTGGTTGGCAGAGAAGGGATGAGAATTTGCAAAAGCTTTTGTTGGGCAAGTTTCTTAGTTCCCTGCCAAAAAGTTCTAATGCTGTGCCTCTTATGGAGAAAGGTAAGAACAGATTAGATGACTATTCACCCCATTCTACATTTACTCTGAAGAAATGCAACATGTATTTGGAGCAGGAGGAGGGTCACATGAGAGGTAAACTTACTTTCATTATTAAAGTCTCTGATTTTAAAATCAGTCAATATGATGATGTAGCAACTTATTTATGATGCAACACACACAAATCATAGCTCACTCAGGACAAATGGACAATGTTCAGGGAGCAGAAACAGAGTTACTTTCTTCTCTGTTGTGTTGAGCTTTGAAGTCACTGCATATGTCCTGGCAAGTCAGGTTTCATTAGACATTAAGGTAGATACCATAATTTGGTACTGAAGGCTTATTTTTCTCAGTCCCATTCATCTAAACTTTCTTATGTGTGTTTGAACCAAGAAATCATACTGCCTCTCAACTGCCCACATGCTACTTTGTAAATGCTTTGGCCTGGGTCAGCACAGAAGAGATACATGGATCTCACGCCTCATTTGAATGTCCAGTGATGGTGAGAACCAAGAGATTATGGACTACTAAACTGTAGAGGTAGAGATCAAGCTGCCAGACACAGTATCTAGCATTGGAGCCAGCATCATGCCCAAAATATTCCTGGGCACAGACCAGCTGTTTTCAGGTTAGAGTCAGGAGCCCGGTGGTCATCACCAACAAAACCCACAGCCATAACACTGATCACATGTTCCATACAAATCACAATGGGAATATATCCAATCTTTTCCCTAATCTCAACCATAGCACCTAGAACAATCACTAACTGGTGATATCTACAGAACCATTGTTTTGACCATGTAATATTAATACTCACAGGCACTGGATAACTTTCTTTCAAACACAAGAGAAAATTTCTATACTTGTCATCTGAATCACATGTCAGTTACACCACTATAATTAACCTTTTGTCCATCTTCCCTGGTGGCACAAGGGGTTAAGACGCAATGTATGAAGCTATCTGCAGCCACTACAGCACGAGTTCGATCCCCGGCCAGGGAGCTACCCGCATGGCTCAGCAGACCTCTCCTGACTCACCCACTGCTTCCCTCAGCAGTGTATTTTAGTCAATCTGCCTATTCTGTTCCCCACTGTCTCTGGTGAATCCTCTCACACACACACCCATCTCTGGCCTGTACCCCCCAGCTGTTGTATGCATAAATAAATAATAAATCTTTAAAAAAAATTAATCTTTTGTCTACTACCTATCATTATCTCCCTCCCTCCCCATTGGTTACCTCTCTGTCTTTGGAGTTTGCTATCTTCTTTATTCACTACACAGAATGGTATTCTTCTTCTTAATAATATTGCTCAGGTGTTTTTAAAGTCTTTTTTTTTTTTTTAAGATTTATTTATTTATTTACACAAGCACTGGGTACAGTCAGAAGCGCGGGAGGGTGAGAGAATTCACCAGAATCAGAGCAGGGAACAGAACAGGCAAACAGACGAAACACACTGCTGAGAAGAGCAGCGGGCTCGGCAGGAGAGGTCTGTCGCGCCATGTGGGACCCTCACCGGTGGCCAGGGATCGAACTGGCCCTGCAGAGGCTGCGGGCAGCTTCGCAGCCCAGCGCTCAACCACTGAGCCACCAGGGGAGGCCCCCTTTTAAAGTCTTAAAAACAAGTTCTTGGGTGAAGCCTTCCTGGAATCATTGGTTCCATTTTTAAGATCAGAAATAATAGCTGCTTCTTGACTTTCCTGGGCAATGCACTCCTAATTTGTGTTTATATTTCCTGGTATGGCATGTCTCCTGTTACACTGAAAACCCTAGAAAACTATGCTTAATAGACACTTAAGGTAAGCTAGTTGTTTATCAAGCTGGGTTGGGGGTGAAGGTAGTGAATTGTGTGAGCAGTTTGGCCTAGAAGAAAGAGTATTTTATCACTGGCACTGTTTAGAGTTACCAGTTACCAGTTACCAGACCAACTTTTAGTTGGTTTTATTATTGTTTTAAAATTCTGTATCGACAATACATCTCATGAGCTTCCCTTGGCATATGGCTCCTTTTTCCCTCCCCCCAATCCAACCCGTATGCCACACTTTGAATCAACTCCAAAATAACCAACTGCTATTCAAAAACAAAACAGTTCAAAATTCTCCTCCCTGAAGCACACATTTTACCCAAGAGCCAAAGATTTTGCAGACTATAGGAAGGAGTCAAATACTGTGCACATGAGCAATTGCAGTTATTCTTATGTGACCTTTATATAGCAAAAGACATATCGATTTTCATGCCTCAGCTTTTTTCCCTTTTGTGTTAATACAAACGGAAATAAGAAACTAAACACTTCTCTTAATGTGGAATTTATAAAATCTTACACTTGCCTTTCCACTATACCCTGCCGAAACCCTTTTGGGATCTCCCCACATTTAAATAAACTTTAAACTTTAAACATATGTTAACTATTAACAAATGACCAAGCAAAGTGAAAAGATTTTTCTTATCTTTGTCTGGAGACTTTATTGAAACCCAAGGCTCCCCACATCAAAGTCAAGTCCAACAATTTACCTTCTTATCACAGAAAACAGTCAATAGCTCTTTCAATGCCTTTCTTCCCCAGGATACTAGTTAGGAAATGTAAAAAGCATGACAGTTTGTGCAGAGATGGGCACATGGGAGAGGACTGGGATCAGGCAGGGAATGACATACCTCATTGGTGTTTAGAGTACACATCACACATTAGTAGAAATCAGCTACATGCCATGCCCATTAGCAACGGATGCTGCAAAATGTCTGGCCAGGCAGCAAGGGAGAAGGATATAATGACAAAATTGTATCTCTGTTATATCACCAGAGGGCAAGGGACAAGAAAGCAAGGCATGCTCAGCCCTGGGACAGCCAAAGTATGTGCATATGCAGTGCCTCACACACTGTAGAGCCTTAATAAGCATTTGCCACCTAGACATATGGTAAGTATATCTGAATAGCAAGGAAGGAAATAGTTGGGCCTAGAGTAAATTCATAACCTTTAAATGCTTAATTTTATATCTGCTAAAATCCAAGAAGAGATACAGGAGATCCCTTGGATGTTCATGAACTTTTATCATTTAGTTGAGAATTTAAAAAATTAAGGACAATTTATAGCAATTCATTAAAATAAAGGTTTTGGGTTTTGTTAATGTTCTAATCAGTTTTCACACATATACACATATATTTGATTATATAAGTCATTTGTATGCATATATGTATGGAAAGAAAAAAATTGGTTTTACTGGTTTTCAGAGACCAAAGAAAGAACATGTAAACATTTGTAATGAGCAAACACAGTCTAAATTCTGTCTCTTTGTACAGTGACTATGGAATAAATGTTAGAAAATTTCCCTGTTTGGAGTTCCCCTTTAAGGACCTTACTATTGCATGTCATCTCTTTAAGGACCTTACTATTGCATGTCATCCACAAAGCCTAGCAACCAATTTATAAGTTTTCATAAATCAATCACTGGTAGGCAGTGACCTGCACTGTGTTCTAATTCTAAGCATTTCTATTTGGGCCAATAAAGGAATAGTGATGTAGAAGCTCTGGAGATATGATTATTTTTTTCAGGTACAATATGAGAACAATGGTGACTAATGGGCTACGTTCTTAAGATCACAAGAGAACTGTAGATTAACAAGCAAAAAATGTAATTATCCCAAAATAATAGACATTAACAAACCAGGGTACTGCAGAGATGGATTGCTCCGTACACCAAAGAAGCTGATGAAATCATCCCCTCTTTAGGGCTTGAAAATAAAGAGGTGAAACACATGCATAAACATAAGAAAAATTAAGTGGCAGTTCCCTTTATGAGTGTGCTTTTATTTCCCCCTGATGATGGGTGGATGCTATTTTACAAATGTTTGCATAGGTAAGTCATGCTGCATCAAATCACTGCTTAACCAGAATGTTTCTAAACCATTCAACTTGATAGTGCAGAGTAAAACATATATTGCTATAATCAAGAGACACTAAAAATGATGAACAAAAAACATAATGGCCCTTCACTTACCTGCAGAATACTCCCAGATTCTAGTCAATGGCAGCGTGGCATCTAGATCACCAGAGTCCCAGTTGTTGATGGTGGGTCTGTTGTCCTTGGCAGTCACTAGTTGAATGTCTAAAAATACGGGGAATATAGCAAAAGAATGTCAGGACTGAAACAATGCTCAGATGCATGACTTAAGGTGTGGCTCCAATGAACCAGTGATATTGAATCAATGATTCTCAAGCTTAAAGGGCATCAGAATCACTTGGAACATTATTAAAAACATAGTTTGTGATTCAGGAGACATAGGGTGGATTATGAGCATCTGCCTTTCTAACAAGATCTCAGTAATACTGATGGCCTTGGGACCATACTTATAAGAACAAAATGTTAAATCATCAACCCTATTAAAAGGTATTCTATGTACCTGGAAATACAGAAAAATAGATTTTTTTTTTCCTCTTAAAGGGTTGGAGATGTTACCTAAACCACTTTCCTTTTAGTATGTGTCATACCTACATTATTTAAAATCTTTTTTGGGGTACACTTAAGGATTTTATTTGAATGTAATTAAATTCAGGATTACTAATAATAATTTACAAGAGCTCTCAAAAAAATTAATACAAGTGAAGCTGAATATATAATACCTAATATAAACAATGATTCTAGTCCCTTTCCATAACCTTGCATTGAAAATTTCTTGGAAGCTTTACCAGAATAACTATCTTCTTCAGAATTTTTTTAAAAGATTTATTTATTTATGCATGCAAGAACTGGGGTACAGGCCAGATATGCAGGAGGTGAGAGGATTCACCAGAGACAGAGTAGGGAGCAGAACAGGCAGACTGCTAAGGGGAGCAGGGGGCAAAACAGGAGAGGCCTACTGCACCATGTGGGTTGCTCCCTGGCCTGCTGGAGGATTGAACTGCGGATAGCTTCACAGTGCTGTGCTTTAACCCCTTGCGCCACCAGGGAGGCCCCTTCTTCAGAATATTTTTTCAGCCTTACTACCTTTAGGGAAAAATATCAGTTCCTCCTTAGTATGGTAGCCTCAGCAATTCTGTGGGAAGTTCAACAATTTGCTGCTTGGTCCCTGTTATTAACAAAAATGAGACCATCAGCTTCTATTGGGTTTCTCCAAACTCCAGAGTCTGGTCAATTCCCTGCAGGCAATGGGCATGATGCTCTCCAATGGATAACAGACTCAGAATGACAAGTTATAGTTATGTTCTGGAAGTCACTTTACAGAAAAATAATCCTGAGTTAAATTGTCATAAATCTTCTTTGTTTGGCTGGTAGTAGTTCAGGAGAAACCCCAATGAGGTGCTCTTAGGAAGGGCATATACTCTATGGCAGACCCTCCCTTCTGATATGCATCCGACTTCATGTTTTTATATTACCTGCCTGCACCCTCATATTTGCTGAAGTTGCAGCACCTGAAAAACCCTTTCACTGAACATCATGGCTTAGAGAAATTAAACCACCTTCCAGAGAAATTAAACCACCTTGCTGGTGGCTAATGCAACTCGCTAGTGCTGAAACAGTAACTCTTCCCCACTTTGGGGTCTCAGTGATGTCAACCCAGGACTTAGAAAAGAACTTGACCAGACTGTCACCTGTCTTGCTCTCTGGGGTGTTCTTAAGTGCACAAATATCACAACCGTTCATATTAGCCAGATATGGCATGTCTACCTGACAAACATGGCACTTTGCTTTGTGGTATTTTGACATGTCTTGAGACAACTTCCCATTTTTCAATTTGTGAGGGAGGAAACTTTTATGTAAACAAGAGCAGGATGAAAGAAATCACTTGAGCACAGGCCTTAATGCCCCAAACATAAACATAAAGATTTACACAAAGGCATTTCTCAAAAACAAAACAAAACAAAAAAATGAAATCAGACTTAAAAAGTCCACACACTGTTTGGGTTTGCAAGCACATTAATGCCAGGAGAGATAGTTTCTCCTCGGCTTTTATTAATTTGTCTGCCTGAGCTATTGTCCAATTTCCTTTTATCATCTTTGCAGGGAAAACATTCATCTGTTTCATTTTGAGCTTCTTTTTCTAATTCTTGACTGCTAAACAAGGGACAGAGGCAAGGGAACCATGAACAGTGATTTTCAAAATGAAGTCTACACAGCAACCACCTGGAAACTGGTGGACAAAGCAGCATCTTTGACGAAAAGTCATCGGCAGAGTCTTCTGGTAGACCTGAAATTTACATATTTTACCAGAACCCAAAGGTATTTTCAATGCCAGTGGTACTTGGCACACACACTTGGAGAAATGCCTTGTGCTTTAGAGCAGTGCTTCTCAAACTTTGGTGAACCCACAAATCTCTGTTTAAATGCGGAGTCTGATTAAGTAAGTCTGGGTGAGCTCTGAGATTCTGCAGTTCTTGCAAGCTCTGAAAAATGCTGGTCCTGAGTAGCAAGGGTTTAGAGCTCTGACTTGGCAATCAGTCCTATTGCCTGAATTCAATATTCAATTCTGTACTTTGCTGGCTGTGAGTCTGGAAAAGTTATTTATCCTCTCTGTGCCTCATTCTCTCATCTTCAAATAGGGCAATCTATTAGTGCCTATACTCCAGTGACTGTTGCATGGTTTCAGTGAGCTAAGAGATACAAAACTCTTGGCATGTAGAGAGGCCTAACAAATGTTAGCTCTTATTATCATTTTGCATTTAATGTTTTGACATTGTGTTTGATATTTGCATACTGATGTAAGGGGATTTACAGAATCCCAAACGGGTGGCTGATAGTTTGACTTGCCAGGTCACTTGAATTTAAAGCTCCTTTCTCATACTCTCTTCCCCACAGATAGTATATTCCAAACATGCTAAAAACAGCCATTTCTCCTTTCAAGTCAGAAGGTTCCAAGAGAAGAGCTGACAATCTTGGTTGGAATAGGGTGAGTGAGAGATCTCCAAGTTTTTGAGCTGTACCTATGCTAAGAGACAATGAACTCCTTAAAGAGGTACCACATCTTCCTGGAAAAACAAAGCTCAAAATTTCCTCCTTGAAGTATCTTCTACAGTCACAGGTTCCCACTAGCCCAGTTCTCTTTTGCAACTACTGGGAATGTTTCCCCTCATAATTCAGTAAAACTTCCTCAGTTTCAGGTTGACCACTTAAAAGAAACCTAGCCAGGCACAACAGGGAAAAGTGGCAAACAGGTAAACAAAGTTCAGAAGGTTCAACGCCACTGCTTGGGTCTACTTAATGGGCTAGAGCCACAGCCAACCTGAGTCTTTTTTTTTAAAAAGATTCATTTATTCATGCTTATAAGAACTGGGGTATGCCAGATATGCAGGAGGGTGAGAGGATTCACCAGAGACAGACTGGGGAACAGAATAGGCAGACTGATGAAATACACTGCTGAGGGGAGCAGCAGGAGAGACAGGAGAGGTTTGCCGCACCATGTGGGCATGTCCCTGGTGGCTGGGATCGAACCTGTGCTACAGAGGCTGCGGACAGCTTCACAGCACTGTGCTCAACTGCCTGTGCCACCAGGGAGTCCCCCAACCTGAGTCTTAACTCTTCATCTTAACTGATGATTCTCACACCTTAGTCTACTGAAACATCTGGGAAAATTGTTGAACTGTAGACACCCACATCACACTGTAAGATACACATTGGGTAGGTCTAATTTTAGCACTAGAAATTTGTATTTTTAATCAACACACCAGGTGTTTCCGAAACAGGTAATCCAGCCTCTTGAGGAACAAAGTTTGTCAAAGAGTGAGGAATACTGTTTAGAATTTGTGCTAGTTTAGCAACATTCCTGTCATCTAATTCGGTTCTTCTAAATGACCTCCAGAAAAGCAACCATTTGCTGAGTGAGTAGCTACTAAGTTTTAACCACTTCATTATTTATTTCCCCTACGCAACTTTATTTACCATTGTTACCCTCACAGAGTAGAATGAAGTGGATAGAGAGTTTAAAACTCTTCCTGAAGTTTTAGCATGAGAGAGTGTCCAATGTGGACTCCCACCTTCGTTTGACCCTGAGGGAAATTGTTCTATTAAGCTCTAAAAGCAGAACTTCTCGATTATCAGCATAAGTCAGATTCCCATACAGGATCTTTTAAAACAGAGCAAAGCACCACCCACCTCAAAGTTTCTGATTCAATGGGTAGAACTCACATTTTTAGCAGGTTCTCAGCTAATGCTAACTGTTATTGGACCACAGCTCTAGAATTAGCCCTTGGGTATTTTTCTTTAAGTCTTTTGTTGTGTCTCTTTAGTAGCCCTAGCCACTGGCTCAGGACAATCTGGAAAAGCTTTCTTTTTCCTTTAACTGTTGCTTTGTCAATAAGTACATGACAAAGGGCCAGTGATGATGCAGTTAGGTCAGTTCTTAGAGAGACTTCAGATGTAACTGCTATGGGAGCTTAAAGTGGTGATATGTTATTCTTTCTCCTTGAACAGAAAAAACAATCTCTTCCTTTGTGACTTTTTCATTGATTTCTTCCGCTCTGTCATTTTATTTCTCTGCTTTAAAAATGCTGATCAATAGTACTGTGCTTCTATTCCAACTAGGAAATGGTTAAAAAAAAAAAACGAAACAAAATTCATCTGAATATATTTAGAGATACAATTGGCTTCATTAAATGATTCATGAATCAGTTAACATCCCAACTAGCAAGCAGAAAGGTTCTGCAAGTGGTTGTACAAAAAAAATGGAAGATTTTTATAATCATTAAGAGGGTGGGGCAAGGGTATCAACAAAAGAAAAGAATATTTCAGACCAAGTACTTTCCTTCAGGGGTAGGCAGAGGGATGGCTTGGGGTGAGGGTCTTATGAAGATGCAGATTAAAGCTAAGGACTGGAAACTCCAGATTGATCGGATTCCATTTTGAGAGGGACTGAAACTGCCTTTAAGTCTTGGAGGGGTCTTGGGCCTGTTAACAGAAGTTTACCAAAGTCATTGATTTTCATTGGTTTTTTCATTATAGAATTGTTGAGAGTATGAAATAATTGTGTATTAAGCTTTCAACAAAATTATACATAGCAAGCACTTCATAAATATTATTTTCACTGATAATTATATTTGGGATATCTGTCTATCTATCTATCTATCTATCTATCTATCTATCTATCTATCTATCTATGCTCTACTTACTGGAAA